TATTTGCTTTATGTATGGTACGTTGATATGAAATCTTATGTTCTGGAGCAAGCGAATGAAAGCTCCGACATTTGATCCCTGGAGTCAAAGAGAACATGGCCCAGTGGGTGACATATTGCCAAGATCAAATAGTTAGGCACTTCCTTTAAAGTAAACAATGACGTTCAAAGAAATCTGTAAGCCGAGCTCTAATGGAATCGCGTAAGAAAGCAGCTTTTTGACTTGAGTGAGCAGGATGTAAGGGAAACTGTGTAATCAAATAAGAGCGAAGTGATAAAATTATGAAATGTTCCCAGATTCACATTAGGGCAATGCCTTCATTAGGCCAATCAAAATGCCACAGAATGATTTGCAAGCTTTTGAGTTCTCCAGGACTCTTAATCAAGAGTAATTAAAACGGGTGGGGTTAGAGCAATGGAGTCTTGCCCGTAGCACTATTAAGTGCTGTGCAAGTTTCAGGTTGTACCTGGGATGTCTGGGGAGGAGAAACACGCAGTGCTTGATCCACCATCTTTGAACACATAATAAATTCCAGGTGTTGTACCCAAACTAAGTCCTACTTGGAGCAGACCCACTGAAATGAATGGGTCTTAGTTAGTTGTGTCCACTCATTTCAATGGGTGTGTTCTGAGCAGGACTAGCAATGGGGACAAGCACTGCTAACTGTTGCCCAGATCCATCTCCATCCTTAGGCTAAACACAGGTTCTTTTGTAGGTGAAAAACAGGAATAAAAAGAAGGTAGGCAGCTTTTAAAGAAGCTGGAGGTTATTTACAGCAGGTGTTGGGTTTTGTTTTGTTTTGTTTTTTAAAAGAAGTCAAATTGGGTAACTTATCTATGGTGGCGGGGAGCTTTTGGCCCACCAGATGTTGCAACAGCACCATCAAGCATGACCGATGGCCAGGGAGGATGCGAGTTGTAGTTCAGCAGCGCCTGGCAGGCCAGAGATCCCCCAAATCCTGTAATAGATGGAAGGAATATGCTTTCCAAATGAAGTCTCCTTGTCTGGTGGCTTAAGATCCCCTTCCTTTAGTGTAGGATCCTGTTTTTGAATGGCTTGAATTCTGCATTCTCCAAGTCACCCAAAAATCGAAGGGATCCATCTTGGCACATAAGGGAAACTATGATAATGTGTGTTTGCTCTTGATAGCTGAATTGACTCTTTGGGTTGCAAAGGAAAACAGTGGAAGGGAAAGACAAGTGGCTACTCCTACTCTGTGGAATGGAAACCACTCCTTGCTTCAGCTGCAGCGAGAAAAGGGTTGTAGTAAAAAAAGATGGGTGAACCTGGTGCAGAAAAGAACAGGCTGGTTTGTTTATTTCAAATAGGCAACACATTTTATGAAAAAGTTCTTGAGGGCTCTATATGAACATGGCTGTATTGTCTACTACAGTGGTACCTCGGGTTAAGTACTTAATTCGTTCTGGAGGTCCGTTCTTAACCTGAAACTGTTCTTAACTTGAAGCACCACTTTAGCTAATGGGCCTCCCATTGCTGCCATGCCACCGGAGCACGATTTCTGTTCTCATCCTGAAGCAAAGTTCTTAACCCAAGGTACTATTTCTGGGTTAGTGGAGTCTGTAACCTGAAGCGTATGTAACCCAAGGTACCACTGTACTGAGCTGAGGAACATCCCCCCAGATGTGTTTTGGAGGCCACATCTAACCCCAAGTTCTCAGCTGGCCATCCTTGTCATAACGCAGACATGGAGAACCAGCTATCCTACGAGTGCTTTTGGGACTCTGACTCCCATCAGCCACAGCCAGCAAGGCCCATGATGGGAGAAGTAGACCGGCAGCATTGGGAGGGCCATAGATCTCCCCACCTCTCCCTATAAAGTTTTCTAGGATCATAGAAGTGTAGAATGGGAAGGGGCCTCCAGCGTCATCTAGTCCAACCTCCTGCCATGCAGAAATCTTTTGCCCAGTGTGGGACTTCAACCCGTGATCCTGAGATTAAGATGCTCTAGCGACTGAGCTGTCTCTGGGGAGTAGTTCATCTCTTCCCTCCCTTGGTTAGCAGTAGAGACTGGTCCGTTCGGACAAAGGGGGGCACTGCCCCACCAACCTCCGTTTGCCCCCAGCCAGCTGCCACCTGCCTGCCATCTTACAGCCAACCTGCCGCCCTCCAAATATTGGGCTACAACCTCCATCTTCCTGGGCATTGGCCATGCTGGCTGCAGCTGATGGCAGTTGAAGTCCCAAAACATACAGGGGTTGGGAGAGGCTGAAAGAACCAGTAGCTAGCGCTGGGATGCAAGCGACTCAGCGAGGGAAATGTTTTGCCATTTTTGCTGACTCGTGCACCTGTGCTTGTGTGTGATCTGCTTTGAAAGCAGCCAAGGTTTCCTTTGTGCGCCTTCCAGATTCAGACTGTGAAGGTGACCTTGAGCATGAAGAAAAATTAATAAATGGTTTCACAAAGTTTCTGTATGCGCAGCTGACTCCAAGGTCCTGGGATTTGTAACTAGTGTTTGAAGAGCAGATAAATTATCTCCTCCCTGGTTTTGCCTAGAATAGTGTCTCTGGAGTTTCCATTGTTGTTTTAACAACGAAAGTTGTGTATTCAGTTACTGACTTAAGCCAAAGGTTTTCTTCTTCTTCTTCTTAAATGCAGCAGTATGATATAGTAGGGGAAAGGGGTTTGTGCATTTTCTGGGCATAGGCTCTAGATTTTAAAGAGAAATCTGAGATGTGATCTGAGTTAAACTCGGACAGCAGATCTCAAACTTTCCCCTTAAGCTTCCTAGGGTCATTTCTCACTTGACCTTCTGCACTCGAGAGTATGGATGTCTGAATACAAAATGCATGAGCCTCTCAAGCAAAATGTGCACTTCTTGCTGGCGTTTTATCAATACAGTGGTACCTCAGGTTAAGAACTTAATTCGTTCTGGAGGTCTGTTCTTAACCTGAAACTGTTCTTAACCTGAAGCACCACTTTAGCTAATGGGGCCTCCGGCTGCTGCCGCAGCACGATTTCTGTTCTCATCCTGAAGCAAAGTTCTTAACCTGAAGCACTATTTCTGGGTTAGCGGAGTCTGTAACCTGAAGCGTATGTAACCCGAGGTACCACTGTATACATATACTGCTTTTCCTTGTATATCATCCTGTTCAAAGAAATTTACTGCCAAGCAGGATGAACGTGACATCAGTTTGTTGAGTTTTGCGTTTATTAGATTTTTAAAAAATGACTTGCTCTTCCTCCCAAAGGATCATTGGATGTCAAAGAACAATCAGTAATGCAAACAGATCCTAAACAGCATATGAAAATACTTACAAATGGGCACATTTAAATACATGTCTTTAAAGTGTGTGGATTTAAAATATTACGACATTGTAGTTGGGAAGGGATTGGACACCCCCACCTTCTTAATTCTTGGGACAAGTGTCAATAGAATAAGAATAATAACCATAACAATAACGCTGCTGCTGAAAACTATATCCCTTTATTTCCCCCCCAGTTCTGATTTGAAATTAAAGGGCAAAAGGCAGGAGAGAAGGCAGAGGTGTAGATTTAAAATAAAATGTAATATGCTGTAAGAGAGCTGTGTTTGGGGTCTCCCCTGGCACTTTCAAGCAGCATTAATAGCAGGTGCATTGATGTGCAGAAGGTGGTGGGGGCGCGCGCATGCACACCAGACTATGGGGGTCCTGATTCTCCCCCTGCCCTGGGCCTTGTTTTGCTGCTTGAAGCCGCCCCTCTCAAGCTTCTGTTTGCACCACGAAGCAGAAAGTGCAGATATCAAGCCTGAACCAGCATCTTTCAGGTTCACAGCTTGGGGGGGGGTGTAGAGAGGTTTCAGCTAGGACAGTGATGTACAAAGAAAGGTCTAATTGCCTCTCCTAGTGCTGCAGTCCAGATCTAACTTGTGAGGAGGGTACATGGCGGTAATTCCTCTTTTTAAATGATGATGATGATGCAGAGGTCTAAACAGGTCTTCAGCATCACCTCCTGTAAAGTCCTTGATTGACTCTGAATTTCCTTGTTTAGGATGTCCTCCCCAGCCAAATGTAGGACCTGAGATGGTTGATATTTGGGTGGTGGGGCGGCACACTTTTCGGTGCTTGGGTCTCAAGCCATTTAGGACTTTTAATGCTAGCGCTCACACCTTGAATATGCCCCATTATCTCACTGGCAGCCAGTGCAGCAGCAGCAGTAATAATAATAATAATAATAATAATAATAATAATAATAAACAAGAACAACAACAACAATAGGTGTTAGTAACAGCAATACGTGAGGGACGCGGGTGGGTGAGGGACGCGGGTGGGTGAGGGACGCGGGTGGGTGAGGGACGCGGGTGGCGCTGCCGGTTAAACCACAGAGCCTAGGACTTGCCGATCAGAAGGTCGGCGGTTCGAATCCCTGCGACGGGGTGAGCTCCCGTTGCTCGGTCCCTGCTCCTGCCAACCTAGCAGTTTGAAAGCACGTCAAAGTGCAAGTAGATAAATAGGTACCGCTCCGGCAGGAAGGTAAACGGTGTTTCCGTGCGCTGCTCTGGTTCGCCAGAGGTGGCTTAGTCATGCTGGCCACATGTCCCGGAAGCTGTACGCCGGCTCCCTCGGCCAATAAAGCTAGATGAGCGCTGCAACCCCAGAGTCAGTCACGCCTGGACCTGATGGTCAGGGGTCCCTTTACCTTTACCTAACAGCAATACAGGCAATGCTCTTTTTGCACAGAGGTTATGTTCCGGACTCCCTCACTCATTGGCATAAGAGTGCGCATAAGCCTGCCCCGTTCTGTGCCTGCCATACCCCTGTTCTGCCCTATTCCGCCCTTTTTCCTAATGTTTTTATGACATTTGGGGGCAATTTCCTGGTTAAGAGTGTGTGCCATTCGGACGAGCCTAAATCGCTCGTTGTCTGTAGTTTATATTCTGCCTTTGCAGTTGGAACGGCTTCTCTGCACCATCCCAACTCTCTTGAATGGCCTTCTGTTTGCACACACCGCTACACCGCAAAGTGCCCTTGTGGATGAGTTCTTTGTCCCTCTTTCCACAGTTCCGGTTAAAAATAAAACCCAGGTTGCCAGCCTTGCTGTACACTTGACAAAGCTGCTTGCCCCCTCGCAAGCTGAAGTGATGGCTCTCCCCTTCCGAAAAGACTTGGACAAATACAAGGACCTCGATGAGGATGAAATCCTGGGCAAGTTAACGGAAGAAGAGTTGAAACAACTGGAAACCGTCCTGGATGATCTCGACCCAGAGGTGTGTTTTGGGTCAGCGGGACGATTCCCTCTGTTTTAAAAAGTGCTTATCCTGCTTTCTCTTGTACAAACATTCAGGGTAGCTAATGCTGCAAGGGGACACGGGTGGCGCTGTGGGTTAAACCACAGAGCCTAGGACTTGCCAATCAGAAGGTCGGCGGTTCGAATCCCCACGACGGGGTGAGCTCCCATTGCTCAGTCCCTGCTCCTGCTAACCTAGCAGTTCAAAAGCACGTCAAAGTGCAAGTAGATAAATAGGTACCGCTCCGACGGGAAGGTAAACGGTGTTTCCGTGCGCTGCTCTGGTTCGCCAGAAGTTGCTTAGTCATGCTGGCCACATGACCCGGAAGCTGTACGCCGGCTCCCTTGGCCAATAAAGCGAGATGAGCGCCGCAACCCCAGAGTTGGCCACTACTGGACCTAATGGTCAGGGTTCCCTTTACCCTTTACCTTTAATGCTGCAAGAGAGTGCAAAAGACAGTGGCTTGACACCACAAGAAGCCTGAATGGAATGAGTCCATGTGTTAGGGCTGTTGCACGAACTGCAAGTCCCAGTGACTGGAGCGCAAACATCTTTTCAATGGAAAGCAAATCCCGGGGGAGCCTGGGGCATCTTGGCTGTTGCTGGATTCTCAACTTCCATCAGCCCCAGGCAGCATGACCAATGGTCAGGGATAAGTGCCATGTGGACAACCCTCAAATGCTCATCTGGTCCAGCATTTCACAGTGGCCAACCAGATGCCTCTGGGAAGTCTTTAAGCAGAGCATGAATGCAACCATGCTCTCCCCACTTCGTGATTCCCAGGTAGAGCAGGGTTTCCTCAATTTGGGTATCCAGCTATCTTTTGTACTACAATTCCCATCATCCCCGACCACTGGTCCTGCTAGCTAGGGATGATGGGAGTTGTGGTCCAACAACAGCTTGGAGATACAAGTTTGGGAGAAACTGAAGTACAGCATGGTGAGAGTTGTAGTTCAACAACATCTGGATGGCCACATCTGGAATGGCATGTGCCTTGGATGTGCAGGCGCAGTGGATTTTAAGCTATAAGCATTAACGGGTGTGGATTCCAGAGGGGAAAAAATCAGCAGATTGTGTGCTGCAACATCATCTCTGGTTCACTCTCCACACGTAGCACTCTTTTCACACCCAGAAATGGCCTATCCATGAGCAAGAAATAGGGTGCTCGCAGAATGGATCCGGTTCAGTAGAAATATGCCAAAATAAAAAAAAAATGTTTCAGAATAAATCCAGCACAAAATATTATACATGTATGCACATTGCGGCCTAGGACCCTCATACCTACGGGGCCGCCTCTCCTGGTATGCCCCGCAGAGGACCTTAAGGTCCATAAATAGCAACACCCTAGAGGTCCCGGGCCCTAAGGAAGTCAGATTAGCCTCAACCAGGGCCAGGGCCTTTTCAGCACTGGCTCCGGCCTGGTGGAACGCTCTGTCTCATGAGACCAGGGCCCTGCAGGATCTGATTTCTTTCCGCAGGGCCTGTAAGACAAAGGTGTTCTGCCCGGCCTTTGACTTGGAATCAGCCTGATCCCCTCCCTCTTTTTGCTTTTCCTTCTGTGATGGAACCCCTATTTGGGGACTTCCCTGGCTTTTCTGAAAGGGATGCGGGTAGCGCTGTGGGTTAAACCACAGAGCCTAGGGCTTGCCGATCAGAAGGTTGGCGGTTCGAATCCCCGTGACGGGGTGAGCTCCCGTTGCTCGGTCCCTGCTCCTGCCAACCTAGCAGTTCGAAAGCACACCAGTGCAAGTAGATAAATAGGTACCGCTCCAGTGGGAAGGTAAACTGCGTTTCCATGCGCTGTTCTGGTTCGCCAGAAGCAGCTTAGTCATGCTGGCCGCATGACCCAGAAGCTGTACGCTGGCTCCCTCAGCCAATAAAGCGAGATGAGTGCCGCAACCCCAGAATCGGTCACAACTGGACCCTAACGGTCAGGGGTCCCTTTACCTTTACCTTTACTGGCTTTTCTGGCCCACGTAGGACCAGTCTGGATAGTTGGCCTTGGTGAAGATTTGACATTTTCTCTCCCCAAACAGTTTTTGATCTGGGCTTCCACTGAAATGAGGCTGCATTTTAAGTTGTACTTTAATCCTGTTTTTAAGTTGTATTTTAATCAACTGGTTTTTATACTTGATGTTAGCCGCCCTGAGCTTGGTCTTGGCCGGGGAGGGCGGGGTATAAATAAAATTAAATAAATTAATATCAGCATCGGGGTGTATCCCAGTTCCTGCCAAGTGGAAGAGTGTCTTATGTGTGTGTGCTCAGGGAGGGGTCTAAAAGTACGTGCACCAGAAGTAGGATGTGATGAATAAATGCAGATATTATCATTGTGTTAGATCTGTCCTCAAACTTGCGAGTCTCATCCTGTCCCAGGAGATAGGGCTGATGCAAGGAAACATGATGGTGGTGATGTCTCTGTTCCCGAGACAGGACCCGGGAGGATTTGGCCTTTTCAACCCCTTCCTAAGATACCTGTGTGTATTTTAATGGACCGCTTCTGCAGTTTGTTGTTTTTTGACGAATAAGAGCGGTAGAAGCCTTGTCGTTTTCGTTTTGCAGAATGCACTGTTGCCTGCAGGGTTCCGGCAAAAGGACCAGACTTCCAAAAAGCCCTCCGGTGCTTTCAACAGGGAGAAACTCCTTTCGTATCTGGAGAAGGAAGCGCTGGAGCATAAAGACGTTGAAGATTTTGTCCCGTTCACGGGAGAAAAGAAAGGTAAGGGCGCTTCTCCCCAGCCCCACCGCCACACCGGGCACAATGGTTTGCGCAAACTCGCCCCGAGAGCTAACCGGTGTGAGTTTACTTCTTCACCTTTCTTCCTTGCTTCTGCTGTAACTGGTAATGCTTGGCTTGGCAGTTGTACGTAAAGATCCAGTTTGTTTATTTATATATTTAAAATAAAGTTATTTATTAGGTTTTTCAAATTAAAATTTTACAATCACGTATCAACATACAATATAAAAACAAGAATCCTCAGAATCTCCTGGGCTTCCCCCTGCATCTTTTATAATAATCCAAAACTTTCGCAGCTCCATTATATCCCAAATTCACCATTAAACTACAAGTGTTTTGCCAAACCCACTAACGATTTTAGCTGTTTACAATGGTTTTTAAGATAGATTATAAATCCCCCCCTTATTAAAATTTTGGTCTTCCTGATTTCTTTATTATTATTATTATTTTATTTTCCAATACAATATTTTATTGCTTTTTTCCATATTACATCACAATATAAATAAACCAAAGCCATCACCACATCCTCCACATCCACCATATATCCATCAATCAAACCTTATATTCTTTTGTCCCTCCCCCCACTTCCCTCCGCCCCCACTCAATTTCCTCCACATTCTGAGATTACATTTACCTTTGCATTTACAATCTTCTTAAATCTTCTATATACTCTTATTATCTTTCCTTACTAATTTACCTTCCCTCAGATACTTTACATTTCTGATTCTTCCAGTCATTTTAGCCATTTCAGCATAGTGCATCAACTTGACCTGCCATTCTTCTCTGGTAAGGACTTTTATCTTCTTTCCATCTCTGGGCTAGTAGCATCCGTGCAGCCGTACTCACGTACGTAAATAGTATTTTCTGTTTCTTTGGGATTTCGGCACCTAGAAGTCCTAAAAGAAAGGCTTCTGGGTTTTGTTTTGTTTTTTGAAAAAGTTATTTTAAACATTTGTAAAGATCCAGTTTAAACCTTATAGTCCTGTCTGTCTTCCGAGGAATGAGATGAAGGACCTACTCTGTAACAGAGAGAAAGTAGTGTGTGTGTGTTGACTCCTTCATATGTATGAACTGGGCCTCAGATGTGCACTTGCCTGCATGAATTTGAGGTCCTCAGAAAATTCTGCTTTTCGGTATCAAAGCGGAGAGGGCTGCTTCTCCAAAATGAATAGAGCACTCCCCTGCCCCTGTCGTAAGCGGTTGCTAAAACTTGAAAGCCTCACCCTGTCCCAGCTGTTGGCCAACATACAATGAGCCACTGTTGCTGGTGGAGAGGGCTGATGCAAGAAAACTTTCTTTCGCGGAATGACATTTGGAAAGAAAATACAGATTTCATCCACGTAACAATGGGAGCTTTGTGGCAAAAAGCATTGTGACTATCAAGAAGGCATGCAAACAATCATTGTCTGCTGCAAGCACACAGCTCGAGGACCCAGAAAGGTTGGGGAATTGATTCCCTACTTCAGAGGTGGTGAGCTTGGGCCAAGCGGGAGTCCTAAATTGATCCGCAAGCCTGTTTTCCTGAAGCCACACCCATCTGCCCTATATATATATATGCTGTCAGGTGTAAGCAGTGCCGGATGTATGTATAAGCTAAACAAGCTATAGCTTAGGGCCTCACTCTCTTGGGGGCCCCCCAAAAAATGTAAAGGAAAAAAACCCTGGATGTACATTTCCAAAATATAAGTTCAACAATCACTTTGATAAAATACATTTTGTTATGTGCAAATGGCTTTAGATACCTATTAGGTCCATAAAGTACCATATAGCATATATTCAACACAAAAAACAGTGACAATTTGTTGTTGACAAATGACAGCTGGACATATAAAGGGCCCCATTATCTTCAGTAGCTCAGGGCCTCATCAAACCTAAATCCGTCCCTGGGTGTAAGGCAGATAAAGAAAGATGTGACTCCTTGCCAGAAGCAGGCTTTGCAGGCACTGGTAAAGGAAGTGTGGTTTTGAAGCTGACCGTCAGCGCTTGCAAACCGTTCTTCGTTTGCCCATATGATTTGATTCATCTGTTTTCACCTACCTGAGAACCCCAAGCCTTTGTGTCTACTTGTCCAGTTTTTCTGGCTTCCTATGCTACCTTGGTCAAATCACTGAGGGTGTATTTAGACTCTACTAGAATGGAAATCAGGGGATGCGGGTGGCGCTGTGGTCTAAACCACAGAGCCTAGGACTTGCCGATAAGAAGGTCGGCAGTTTGAATCCCTGCGATGGGGTGAGCTCCCATTGCTCGGTCCCAGCTCCTGCCCACCTGGAAGTTTGAAAGCACATCAAAGTGCAAGTAGATAAATAGGTACTGCTCCGGCGGTTTGCGGTTTGGAGAGAGGCAGTCCACACCTTTCAGTCTCAGTGAGTTATTCCTCCAGAGGAATTCCTCCAGAGGGGACGCGGGTGGCGCTGTGGGTTAAACCACAGAGCCTAGGACTTGCCAATCAGAAGGTCGGCGGTTCGAATCCCCGCGACGGGGTGAGCTCCTGTTGTTCAGTCCCAGCTCCTGCCCACCTAGCAGTTCGAAAGCACGTCAAAGTGCAAGTAGATAAATAGGTACCGCTCTGGTGGGAAGGTAAAAGGCATTTCCGTGCGCTGCTCTGGTTCGCCAGAGGCGACTTAGTCATGCTGGCCACATGACCCGGAGGCTGTCTGCGGACAAACTCTGGCTCCCTCGGCCTATAGAGCGAGATGAGCGCCGCAACCCCAGAGTCGTCCGCAACTGGACCTCATGGTCAGGGGTACCTTTACGTTTAGAATGGAAGTCACCTATGGACATCCACAAGGTGATGCAGTGCATTTTGCACTGGTTGCCTTCTTTTGCAACCCAGGATTGCTCAGCTGCAAGCCAGTCCGTTGTAAGCCAGCATCTAGGCAGTGGGTTCCTAGACTTTCCCCCTGCGCAGCCCAGTCGAAAACCGCTGAGGGTCATGAAGAACCACTTAACGATTGCCTGTTGTAGCAATTGTAATGCACTGTGCTAGATGCTATATGATTCTCTCTTGCCTCTGTTATTTCGGATCTGTTGTATTTTATTGCATTACAATTCCATGTAATTCAATTAGCTACCAGATGTTGTGTTTGATTTTGGCACAGCTTCCTTTCTTTTCTTGCACAAGTATGTGAAATAAATTGATTGAGCTGATTGTGTTTATATCCTGCCTTTTCTCCAAGGAGCTTAAGGTGGTTCTACCTCTCCTCAGTTAATCCCCACAGGAAGCCTGTGAGGTAGACTAGACTGAGAGGCCATGACTGGCCCAAAGTCACCCAATGAGTGTCATGGCTGCATGGGAATTCGAAACCTGGTCTCCCAGGTCCTAGCCCAACATTCTAACCACTGCACCACAACGGCTATGATTTCCAACGCATAAATGCATCATGCTCATCTTAGCCTTGATTTTATTCAGTTTTTTGTATCCGAGCTGGAGTCTGCCAGTGCCTGGAGAACCATATTTTTCCCACCCTGGTTTGTACACACTTCAGTGATACTCAGCACACATAACCATTCTGACACACTTATGCCAAGCTGTTGGGTGTGGAAGTGTTTTGATATGTGCATTCCCCCCCCCCAAATCACTCCACCATTTGATCTCCTCCTTAAATAAATGAAATGTTCCCACATTATCAGCAAAAACACTCCTGTGGCCCTTGCAAGCTCAAGTGCAGATGTGTCCTTTCGACAACGTTTGTGTTGGTGCGTGTCGAGCGATAGGAATCTCGAAATCTCTCACTTGGCTCCCTGCCTGTATAGTTATGTCATTGTTTCCAAAGGCTGTGCAGAGTTTTGCCCTCTCAGTGACTGAACAATGAGCTTGAGTTTTCAGAGTATTTGCTCATTACCTGGAAAGGAATCTCGGAAGTTTTCTCAGAACAGAAATAAGGGTGGGTCTGAGCAAGACGAGACTCGCTGGGAGCTCCAGTGAGACCAAGTTTGCATTTGTGTGAGGGTCTTTTTTGTTGTCGTTGATTGCACGAGGGAGCAGCTAAACCAGCTCACTGTGGCATTGATCACAGGGTTTAAAAGGGAAGAACACAGCAGTGTTTAAATTTGGGTCGGCTATGGGGACTCCCTCAGCCTCAGCCAACACAGCCAATGGTCTGTGGGGAGTTGCCGTCCGGTGACTCTCACACTCCTTATCTTTGAGTACTTCAAAAGTTCTTCAGAGCTGTGTGAGAAAGTTTCTGTGTATGTGCTTTGTCCAAAGTGCACCCCTGGAGCTGCAATGGAAGGGAAATAGCACAAACTGTGCTCTGCTCCAGTGCTCAGGACCGCCATACCTCAAGGACCGCCTCTTTCCATATGAACCTACCTGGACCCTGAAATCACCTTCTGAGGCCCTTCTTCGTGTGCCGCCTCCTTGAGAGGTCCAGAGGGTAGCAACACGAGAACGGGGCCTTCTCTGAGGTGGCTCCCCGTTTGTGCAACGCTCTCTCCCTGGAGAAGTCCGCCTGGCGTCTTCATTATACACCTTTAGGCCCCAGGCAAAAACGTTCCTTTTTAACCAGGCCTTTGGTTGATCTGTTTGACATCCTATACCCTTTTAAAATGTGACTCTTTTCTTTGGGGAGTGTTATTGGGTTGTTGTTTTTATTCCTATTATATATGTTGTGATCTTTTCTGTGAACTGCCCCGAGACCTCCAGGTATAGGGTGGTATAAAGGTAAAGGGACCCCTGACCATTAGGTCCAGTCGTGACCGACTCTGGGGTTGTGGCATTCATCTCACTTTATTGGCCGAGGGAGCCGGCGTACAGCTTCTGGGTCATGTGGCCAGCATGACTAAGCCGCTTCTGGCGAACCAGAGCAGCCCACGGAAATGCCGTTTACCTTCCTGCCGGAGTGGTACCTATTTATGTACTTGCACTTTGATGTGCTTTCGAACTGCTAGGTTGGCAGGAGCAGGGACCGAGCAACGGGAGCTCACCCCGTTGCGGGGATTCGAACCGCCGACCTTCTGATCGGCAAGTCCTAGGTTCTGTG